AGTTCTCTGTGCTGGGAACAAACAGAAGCGTCGCTTCTAGGCAACGCAGAGAGAAAAGAATAGTACAAGTAAAAAGTAGGCATTGGCAAACGTGGATTCTGCTGAGATGAAGCGTATGTATTGTACATAGAGAATCACAGTGCTTCTTCCGTATGCCTTCACTGAATCATCTACGTATGACTAGCGGTCTCACACATGCACCCCCCAGTGTGTACCTTTTGCTAGAGGTTCGGCCCACATTTGAGTGCCTTCATCCAAGTATTTTGTAAGGGTTCACAATCCTCACTATATAGGTGTAGGTCTTAACGTAACCGTGCAGTAAAACTCAATAGTTCAAAGTCAGCATCCAAATTTAATCATATCTGGAGGGCGGTGTCGATATGTTTCTAAATCCCTGAGGCCTACTTTTTTTCCCAAGTATGCGAAACGGCATTTCGAAGTGCAAGGTGCGCTGACATTCTGGTCGAATGTCCCTCTTCCGACTTAAACATTTCTGCCTGACACGGCCCTACAGGAACTGAATTTCGTGACGAGGGCTTGCTAGTTGGGTTGACCTTGAGATCTTTGGTACGAGACTGGCTAATCGGGTGTTGTTTACGTGAGCAGTTCGGAGCCAGTTTGGTTAGTCAGTGACCCGACATCACCAACTTCACGGGCAGGCCAGAAACCAGACTGGCATCGATAATAAACGTTCTAAATTTGAAATAAGGATGGCAAAATTCAGAACTACCAGGAAATCACTTGTTGGCTATCCTAATTGCATAATAATATTGCCATTTCGCTTAAGACCCTCTGTCATAAACAACGCAAAGAACTTACACTGCTTCATTCTAAAGCATTGATATTACTAATAGTTCAAAAGACTCATCGATAAATGAGAGCAAACTTTGTTCTGTAGGCAAAGTCGTGACACCTTTTTTAAAGCTTAGCTTATCCAGTGTTAACAAAACGTGCTCGGTACGAGACAGTTTGCGCCGATAGCTATACTATTTGGCCTCATGTGTTTGGCAATAAATCACTGAAATCTCAGTTCGCTATTATTTAATTGCTGCAAATAGGATAACGTACTGATAGGCACCGTTTACTGTGTTTTTTACCTGATGCTATAGTGAGAATAGGTGCGTATGGCGTAGCATTAGCGCGCTTATGGTTTGTGGCCACAAATGGCAAGTTTGTCGAGCGAGTTTTTCATGCACCACGGGGGCAGAGCATTTAATGCATTGAGTGGCATTGTTAGGGGATATATTCCTATTTAAATCCCTACATCCAGTCTCCACGGATATGATGGGGCAGAAAAGAGCAGGTCCATTTGATTTGGTTATTCATTCCTTTCATTGAAGTCAATGTGGTCGGAATTTTGAGGTACCAGCTGGTTGAGCTGCTGCGTAACTCCATTCGCAAACGCGTGGATGAAGGAACCGTGACATCAGATTACTGCTCCTGCTGCCTTCAATTCATTTGGTTCTCCCTTGGCGCGGCTGGCAACCAGAAGAATGCGGCGGTAACCAAACGACTCTCTGTCCTCTCCTGCAACGGAATTCTCTAGTGCAACGAAAAAAATTTGGCCGATCACACGTAGCTTGGGAATCGATGTTATGCGAAGCACGCGAAACATGTGGATGCATGGTGAATGTGCTTTATTTATTTATTAAGCAAAACATTATGAAGTGGCGCTCAATATATGTCAAATCTACGCACACATACGTTAAACAGCTGCATATGTTTTATAGGGCAGCTGTTTGCAGTTGCGTAACGATTCCGACAGGAACATGGATATTAGCAACACCAGAAGCAGTAAGCTGATACCAGGCATGTGTGTTTGCGCTGGGGCTAACGGGTATGATAGCCCTAAACACTGTTATACAAATCAACCTCTGTGTCTAACTACGATTGACGGTAACCCGAAATGACGGCTGTACAGACAGACAGACAGACAGACAGACAGACAGACAGACAGACAGACAGACAGACAGACAGACAGACAGACAGACGGACAGACGGACGGACAGACAGACAGACAGACAGACAGACAGACAGACAGACAGACAGACAGACAGACAGACAGACAGATAGATAGATAGATAGATAGATAGATAGATAGATAGATAGATAGATAGATAGATAGATAGATAGATAGATAGATAGATAGATAGATAGATAGATAGATAGATAGATAGATAGATAGATAGATAGATAGATAGATAGATAGATAGATAGATAGATAGATAGATAGATAGATTGATAGATAGATACCAAAAGTGTTTGCAGTACGCAAAAATGTACTTCACATTTAAAAGTCATCGTGACCGCCTTATTTATGTTTCCAGACAGAAAACCTGCCTGTGACGCCCAGTTTTGCTCGGTGGGGGCCTTGGTTCTATTCCGGAGAATTAGAGCTTGCCTCTATTCTATTCCATTAAATTCCTCGCAATGAAATAAAAAAAACATCCCCTTCCCTCTCCGGGAACGTGCGGGCAGTTCTATTCCATTCCTCTAATTCATCACTGTATGAAAGACATCATGATATTTTTATCGAGTTTTGATTGAAGCCTGTCCGGTAGAGTTTATTTCATCAGACGAGTCCTGTAGGCGACACAATTTGGTTGCACCAGCACAACATGAAACTAATTCGTAAAGCAGAATTCGAGCTTACCTTGAGCAAAGATAATGTTATTTTCGAGTGGTTTTATCGCCAGTTTCCTTTCTAAAGTGCGGGTTTGTTGCAACCGGTGCACAGCTATGGCAATCGTCTTCCTTCCAATATAGGCGTACACAAAAGAAGCCAGTTTCGCAGTGGCATTTAGATAAAACAGAAGCATTTGCAACAGCTGTTGAAAAGCTGATGGCTTTGAAATAAAGCTCGTCGAGACTTGGGGTTCAGAAAGTGGCGAATAAGTAAAATAACGAAGGCCCTAGACTTTTCTCGAAGTGCGAATTAGTCCCAGGTCACCTAACAAAGTTTTTTCGAACCTTCAACTCATTTGCAAGACTTGTACTTCTATAAGCACGTCCAATGATGGAGATGGGTGGGTGACGTTTAAGTAAAACTTCGCCCACTCCCCCTATTTAGGGAACCCACACACACATGTGGTAAGAGGCAGAGAGAGTTAAAATTGTGCAGTCATTGGCAGTTTTCTGACCCTTTATTATCAAGGAAATAATGATAAAATTATTCACAATAAAAATAGTCTGCATACGAATGAAGCGTGTTCTGAGCCAATTTCAGTGCTTGACAAACTAATCAGCCTTTTTCTATAGCCCTGAGTGTGGTCAGCAACGAAGCGATGGTCCAGTACCGCTCACTTCCTAAAGCAAAATCTGTTATGAGATCGCAACAATGGCCTATTTTAGCAGTGCAGTTATCTCTCGATGTCACCACCACAGCCGGTATCCGTAACTACTCTAGCACTAAGTAAGAAAAAAAAGGCTAATAGGTACGAAACATTCAGAAAAGAATGAATTTGAACCGGGTTGTTTGCGTGCCAGTATCATACCACTGAGCTACGGCAGTGCTTGAAAGTGTGTTGAAAACGGCCTAAGGCAGGCTTGATGTTGGGTGATAAATGGCGTTGCCATAAATAATTAAGCAGTTTATAACAGTGAAAGACAAGAACCAGGTGCCACACAATGTTAATTGCATGAAAAATGAGCCGTTAAATGATCCAACTCAATACAAAAGCCTAAAGCATATTCCTCCATTTTCGTCAGCCATACCATAAATTAAGTGCACATAATGCCTACAGGTGTGTAGCGGGTACCACGCTTCTCTGAAGAAGAACAAATAATGAAATACGGAATGTTATGCAAAAATAATGCTCCTGTTGAATGCTCATGTTGTAAAATTATGTTCATGCTTCTGAGCATCGCGGCTCCATGGAAGTGTGGTTTTGGCGGTTGCCCCAGGACTGCTTAAAAAAAAGGCTCTGAAATGTCTGCTGTTTCAGCTTTTGCTGTATCTGTGCTGTGCTTCCCACGAAGTCCTGGCTTTCCCCCTCCCCTCTTGTGGTCTAATTGCTTGAATCGCCGCTTTTAAGTGTGAATACACTTTATAAGCGACTCCAAACCATCCACCGCCGTTGGCGGCGTCCGCAGTCTTCTCTCTATCTTTAAAAGAAAGAGGACTTGGCGGGCCGCAGCGGGACGCTCTACCGAATAAGCCACGGACGCGACGCTGATATCGGTGTCGCTCCTCCGCTCTCCTCGCTCGCTGCAGCTGCGCGCGCACCCCTCTCTCTCGCGCGCCCGCCTTCTCTCTCAGTCTCCCGTCGAGAGCGGGTCGTGAGGGGGAGTAAAGTTAAAATCCGTTGGCATTCGCCAGTGAGTTAACGTAAACTCCCCCGTGTGATCAAATTGCGATTCCCAGGAACCATTACACCATAAAGGCACCATAGTGTGATTAATAAATATAATAGTGCGAATTAATAAATACCCCTCGTAGCATCACCCCGTGTATTCGCACTTAACCGTGTTCACCCTCGGGGAAACGCTTGGGAGTTTTTTTCCATGTCCGTGCATCATTTGGGGTTTCTGCTTACGTATACTGACGTTATCTATATTGTTCAAGCACCCCACCCTGACTTATTTTCCATTTTCCTCTTGGACAGCAGTCATGCACCAGACACGCATGCAGTCATGATCATCATCAATATGAAGCACGCCGCTCCGAACTAGTAGAAGAAGAACAAGAAGAGCCTACAGACTTTGAGGTATGCAGCCTGTTATCCATACTATCCGTACTCAGTTATTTGTGCATTACTAATCTTCCTATGCGCCGCAATACACTATATAAGTTCGGTAAAAGTTACCACGTCGAAATGGAATACTAATGTCTTTACACAGGCGTGCGGAAACTAAGTACTCAAGATGAGAACTACAGCTCAGATGTTCACAACACACAGACGGCTTCAATGAGAACAAAATCTACTATATACGCATATTTATTGACGCAGGGTGTCTTTAATAGTGGTGTCATGAACTTTTGTATGACAGGTGATTTCAAGATGTCTGGGAACTCGTCGATGATGAGTGCTCTTTCTGGTAAGTTGTAGCAACAAACAATTTTCTAGAAAGCATACAGGTGCCCTTATAACGACATGCTTTAAAGATTGCTAATTATCGACTCGGCAATCTCACGACATCGGCGGAACGAAACTGTCAGGCTGGCTCTATGGCATTTGATGGTGACTGAATGACTGTTGTAAATAGGCACTCGAAGGCTGGCAGAGGAGCACGCTGCAAGAGAACACAATATAACGATCAACGTAACGATATCGTGTGTCCCCGGGTGCTGTTCAACTGGCTTGGAACTTTTAAGCTTACGCCAGAGCTGGGTGATACTCATAATGGACTTAAAATTATACTTCTTTTCTTTATACTTTAAGGAGGTCTCGTACTGGCAGACTGAAACTACCACCTTTAAATGCGTATAAGCACTCTATAAAGTGGACAGTGGGATAAACACTGCCGTATCTCGTTGGCAGAGCATCGGACGCGTTATTAGAGAGTCGCAGGTTTAGTTCTTACTAGCAGCAAGCTATCTTTTGTCTGCTTTTCATTGTTTACCTTTACGTTGTACTTACTCCTGATACTACCCCCAATACTTTTCTTCACATCATTGCGTACTAGTTCTCATGAATATCGTGCGTAACAAAGGAAACGAATCCCTAAATGAACTCTTCTTTCCTTCATGTACTTCGTGTAATAAAATTGTATATTAGGAATCAATAAAGCCCGTCTGTGGCTAAGTGATGTAATGCTTTCCAATATAAAGAGAAGTTTATTCATTGGAGTAGATGCTAGAACTTTAAATGTGTTGAAACGCAATCACAAGCAAGGCTATATGAAGAAGGTGATGATGATTGACATGTGGGTTTTGACGTCTATATATATATATATATATATATATATATATATATATATATATATATATATATATATAAGTGGTAAATAGAGAAATGGGTATTTGGTTCGTCACAAAAGTTTAACTTTTATGTGTCACTCATGAAAATGAGTTCATTTGTGGGGATCACGTGATGTGTGTTGCAGGGTTCTCATTGGGCAGCACTCGACGAAGGAGACAGCGGCAACAAACGGAGGAGCCCGAGCTGAGCTTCGGCGATCTCATTCCTCCCCTTCCTTCCAACAACGCCGACAGGTAAGCACTGTGCAGCAGCAATTGCCTTCACTTCCTCCTGTAAACAGTTAACTGACATAAAAAAAAAATGTTACAACCACACACACCCTTCATATACTTCATTTCTACACGCAATTCGTACGCGTCCACCAGCATTTTACATTTTACTTTCACTAATTTCTTTGGGCCTCACATGTTAATAAGGAAGAGTAGCACAAAGAACCTGGTTTTTAACCGAATATCGACATGACTACTCTGGTGCATTTGAGTTTACATGGCGATCCTAGAACATAGGGCGCAAAAATATCAGGTTGCCCGTGGTAGCCTATATCTGCCGTGTTTGTTCAGTGCACTCGTTCTCATAAAGTGGACGCTTGATGAGAACGAGTGCAAGTGGACGCTATGGGACGCCGTTATGGCCAACCATAGTAGAGTACCTAGTACTCTAAATTGTGAAAACTTTTTTCTAAGCGCACTATATTCGCCTTCGCTGTCTGCTATAATGTGCAACTGTTTCTCTCACATAATTTGGACTCCGTTTGAAAAACAACACTACGTTTGACCCTCGCGGCGCTGCCTGCCCAAACCAAGTTTGTTGTGATTCACGGTAAAAATACCCAAAGCACGAAATTGAATACTGTGGGGAGAGGGAGCAATTGGCGTCTAGGATGCTTTTAGCTGCGCTTTTTTGATCGCTAAACTGCTACGTACACACAAATCGCAGGAAAACCACTGAAAGCTGCAACCCAGAACGTTTTATCAAGCTTTTTTTTTTCGCGCGCATATATGCAAAATTCAGAAATACGCCCCGTCAGTAAACAGGTATGGGAAGTCGGTTGATTTAGCGTTCTGTCTTTTTCTAGTATTCCCCGATTGTACAAATTGTTGCTTTCTTGGTCTTTGAAAACAATTTCTACTGTGCGCATGATCTTGAAGTGCACATCGCGCTTACGTCATATGAGTCAGTGATGCGATAGTGACTGTGTCCAGCTCTCACTCTCTCAAAATAGATTTCGCCTTACTTTTTAATGTAGTTTATGCTAGTTATGCAAGCTGTCTTGTATATTTTATTAAGCATAGATTAATAAGAATAGCGGAAATATATTGTGCTGCCATACTTCACTGTTTTTTTTTTCAAGCTGCATGATCGCTCAATGACGCAATCTACATAAGAACTCGTTGATTCTTGTGATAATCTCACGCTAAAGTGCGGGCAGACCAGAACAATGGTAAGATAATGGGCTATGTAGTGCATCATTATTTAACCCAGAAAATTGATAAAACCTATGGGATTGTATAAACGAAATTGTAATTCAATAATAGGTTAAATGGCGCTTAAAGTCATAAAATGTGTAGTTTCATATTTACTTATTGCTGCAATAAAAAAAAGACTCTTAAGGAGCTTTTCGTGTGATCTAAATCACAGAAAAAAGCCACAACATGCGTTAATCACATTTATTTTCCTATGATTTGGCAACATACATTTTGTTAGTCATGATATAGCAGTCACATTTCATTCAACGCTACTTTCATTTAATACTACAGTGCACTAATCAAATGTTGGGTGTGTTCTATAAATTGAGGTGGCTCAGTTGTTATATGGATGAACAAAAACAGTTTGCGAAAGCCGGCATCTACAACAAAAAAAAAATGCTGCCATATCCACGAAGCGAATGATGATGAGTGGGCGAAGCTCCGGAGGTAAACCTGGTAAACCATGAATCCTCCGTACATTTTGCCCACTGGATTTTATTGCAACGCTCCCCCTAGCGTACGTCGCCGCACTATATCGAACGATGACACGCGCCATATGTGGCATCATTCCTATTTTATAACACCTCGCATCTTTCATAATCAACTACACGTACCGCCGTCTAGTTTATAACATCTTGCATCTTTTGGACGGACGGACGGACGGATGGACGGATGGACGGACGGACGGACGGACGGACGGATGGATGGATGGATGGATGGATGGATGGATGGATGGATGGATGGATGGATGGATGGATGGATGGATGGATGGATGGATGGATGGACGAACGGATGGACGGATGGACGGATAGATATGGCTGTACCCTTTAGATCGGGCGGTGGCTAGCGTAATACTTAGAACTGAACGAGAGGTGGCTACATACAGGGGACGCACAGCCCACGCCTTAAGGAGCTTCGCTCCTAATAGTGTTGGTGCCGCAAAATGAAGCTAGCTGTATAGCATGATGGTCATGGAGTCACAAGTTACGCTGCCTACTTTGTATCGCAGCTCAGAGGTTGCATGTCTCAATACAGCGTTCTCAATCTTAAGCATGCATATTGAACTTACCATAAGAAATGGTTCAAGAGTCAGCTCTTTATGACTTACTTATTCAAAATACAGATGATCCTTACCTATTATTGGTGCACATATTGTAACACTCACGCCTATTTTTTTCTAGTTTTTTTTTTTCAAAGAGGTTTGCCAAACAAAGGTATAGAATGAAACGATTCCTATATGGCATGCAGCTTGCCGTAAAATAATACAGTAAATGAGAGTGCTTGTTCGAAAGGACTTTCCGGAACCTTACAGAGAATTTCCCGACCTCATTTTGTAATTCGTAGCATGGAAACTGTGAGCCCCCTTATTCTCACCTGGTTTTATTCCTTTTATTCTCAACCTAAAAAACAGCCGTAGGTGGACCGTCAAGCGATACATCATTCTCTGTGCGTCGGTGGCGGCCGTTCTCAGTCTGCTGACAGTGTCCGTGAGCGTCACCACTGTCGCCGTCAAACACACCGGTGAGCGCACTTTCATAAAGTTTCCCTAATACAATATACATAAGCACATTTACTTTCCGTAGATACCTGTGGTACTAAATTTAAGTGCGCTTTTGAGATATGAAGAAATACGACTGCCTGTTTTACAAAGCTTACATGGTGCACCAGAAAATTAAGAACAGAAGTGAGTAATGGCTGCTATGATTCAATGTAGTTAAAGCAGAGAGCAGGCTAAAAGTCTAGGTAGGAAGCTCCAAATGCACGAAGATAAATTCGCCAATACGATACGCCAATATTGATAAAAATTTATGAGTGTCTTATAGAATAATTTCTTTGTAATGGCATCTCCACTTAATTCAAGTTCATGCGAAGTGAATGAATTCCAGTAAGTTTACGTGTTCATAAAAAAACGTTCTTATTACTTTCAGTATCCAAAAGATTACAGATCGTCAACGACACGAAGCCAGGTAAGAGAAATTGCTTCGTCATCTTTCAACTGCTGGTCTGATAGCAAAACCGCGACAGCTTTCGAAACGTTAGCTGTGTTAACGATCACTGTCGCGTTCTAGAAGTTTTGTTTTGCATTATCTCTACAAAAGGGGGTGATAAAAGTCTTCTACTGCAGCCGGTAAGGGAGGTAAATGCATACTGACCATGATAATTTTGAACGCAAATAGGTAACAAAAACTCATTCACAGAAATGTAGTCCAGAGGCCAGTATGAGGCTCAAAACTGTGTTTTTATGGCTACTTCGATGTATTTTTTCGAGAGCTGTATACTAAACAAAACTTTTCACGATTGGCAGGATAGAGTGCAAAGTTCAACCTGTGCAAACTGAAACGATCAAAGATCGATAGAAGAAGCATTGACATCTTGATGAATCACAGCAGCTAATTTTGATGCGTAGGCCCTCTCATATTCTTGCAGGTACTTCACAGACACTGTGTAAAAACGCCAATCACAACGAAAAATATGCATTAGCGTTGTGAGCAAACTACTGTTAAATTTTCCGCTAACATTTGCTATGACATCTTTAACATAGTTGTGGTTGAAAGAAGCCCTTTGCGTAGTTCTTTTTGTTTGTTCTTGGAAAGTGTATTTTTCGATAGAACACCATTTGGGTAGCTGAAACGTTCAACACATTTTAGCCTCTTATAAAATAATTGTTGTGCTGGATTTTCTTAGATCACCTTCAACGACAGAAGGCTGCATTTTTCTGCTCATCCAGTGCGTGTGTGAGAGAAGGTAAGGATAGCAATAAATATTGATCCAGACAAAACAAAATCTTCTATGTAAAATAGTGACGTATAAGGTCTTATGGTGATGCGACTGTTTTGAGGTCTTCTTATTTTTCAAAAAAGCTGTAATGCTCTTGCATATAACATGTGGGCAAGAGATCCTCTCTGTGTTATTAGTGTGCATCTGTTATCAGGGTTATCACTGTTTTCTGTTATCAGTGTGCATTCTAGTGCTGGATAAGACCTGCCGTCATTGGCACAATACAAAGTTCATTTTCGTGTTGAAAATATTTTCCCATGAAACAAACCAAAACTCTGCTCATGGTCTTAACCAGAATTAAAGTAGCAGTTCTAGAATAAATAGGTCATCGACCCTAGTACTACAGTTCTGACAGAGAAAACTTTCTGTGGTGGATCTCTGTGAACGTTGTATTGGTAAATGTCTATCACAATTGTGATCGTTTCCAGCGTGTACTAATAAAAAAAAAACATTGACACTGTGTTCGAACAAACACTGGCAAGATGTCAAGTGTTCTGTTTTAAAAAATGAAATCTGCGAGCGAGCTTTGTAATTGAAAACTGCATGTTACGACTGAGTGGTGCATTCCTAAAATTTCTTTGAGAAATAATGTATATTCCTTAGGTATGTCTTGGGTTTAGCGTTGTATAATCTGAGGCAGTAAAAATAGACCCAGAAGCACGCACTGTGGCGTAACTTCCCTCATTACCTCAGTTCTGTGTCTCTCTGAAACATTCATCAACAGTATGGAATCTCACGTGCAGCACAGTGAGGCTACTCGTCCAGCTACACAGAGACAAAAGACGCATTGTTTTTTTTACTTCACGTGGTGCCTTAAGCATATCGCGTTTGCCTTCTGGCGCAAAGTTGTGAGTTTTATTGACCACAGTGTCTTCCATTTTTCATTCGAACGCTAAAACCGCATCTCAAGAGTAGCGTGCCTATGGAGAACCTTTGTGGACTGAGGTGTCACACTAGGTCACATAAATAGTAGCACTCTAATCAAGAAGCAGAAGTCACAACCGAGTTTCCCTACTGTATTCTATTTTCTTTGTGCAGCCCAACGTATCACCCAGTCGGTGAACAAGAGCGACGAAGTGGGCCCCTGTGATAACTTCTACACTTACACCTGTGAGGGCTGGCTGAAAGACAACCCCGTCGTAGCAGGAGCAGCCCGCACTTCGTACAGCCTCGAGATCACGGAGCGAGTAGAAGCCGGCCTGATGTCGTTCATCGAAGGTACGCTCAGCACGTCCGTAGACGATGACGACGCCGAAGGTGCCACTTGTTTATGTAGTTGTAGGGCCTCATAATAGATACCCGTGCTCAGTAAACTGGTCGCTCTGCCATTCTACTTCATTCTGCACACACGTCTGCTAAAGTGAAGCTAAAGGTAGAGAGCCAGTTGATACCATGTGACTATTTCAAGGCACTACAGGGGTTGTTGGTAAATTAACATTGCATTTCCCTTAATGTTTTGCGAGTAAATCTAGTATAAGGCCTTTTTTTGTCTTACGAGGGTGCTGTGTAATGTGAGTAGATACTCTAACAAGTGCTCGACCAAGTAGTTTGTTTAATTCTTTTCATTCCAATGGCTCCCTTGCCGGGACGGACATGAGTTTATCGGAGAAAAATGAACACAATTGATCTATATCTACGCTATGCAGCCTCTAAAGACTTCACGTGGCAGGGAAATACTGTCGCTGTAGAAACAAGACATGATTCTACAAAAGCGTGATGCGAGGTAATCGATATCATAAGATGTATGAATCTATAAAAGGCCAGTCTGGTGTATTAGGCGGATTCCTTCAAACAGTGCTTTATGTCAACGTTTTCGTGCTTTATGTCAACAATTTCGAACAAAATAATTCGTTTCTATATCATTCAGCGTGAGTTCAAGTCATTCGCTTATTTTATTTCTCGGTCAATACGTCAGCGATTGCATTCAACGTAAACTTATGACAGATCTAGTTTTGTTAGGTTATAGACACGCCAAAAAATTAAATTGTTTGTACATAATCATTGAAGAATAATCATGTATTATCACATGATCATCTAGCTTGAATTAGGACCCGTTCTCATAATCACAATTTGTAAACTCTTTACGTATCGTGCCTTCCAAGCATCATTATTTCCGTGGTAATTTAAACTGCCCTCACAAGCGTTCTAGATAAAGGTACCTGCAGCATCAAACATGTACCTTTTGAATGCGAATAGTGTTTCTCCGACTATTATGACAAATACCAGCTTTTAGAAAGATTGACCATCTAGTGTAATGTGATTTGCAAATACACGCACGCGCAGATGCATGCATGTGTGTTGCAGAAGCGCTGTACCATATATGTGCACAATAAAATACATAATCTTACATCAACTATTGCGGCTTCGCGACCTGGAGTTGAGTCCTCTCGCACCGATACCAATATTGCGCTATTATATATATATATATATATATATATATATATATATATATATATATATATATATATATATATATATATATATATATATATATATATATATATATATATATATATATATAATGAGATATAACAGACAGTAATGCCAAGGAATGTACAGGGGAAGTTATTAACATTAATGGAATGTAAATAAGAAGAAAAAAAGTGGATGAAAAAATTGCTTACAGTTGGTAATTTTTTCATCCACTTTTCTTTCTTCTTATTTACATTCCATTAATGTTAGTAACTTCCCCTGTACATTCCTTGGCATTACTGTCTGTTATATCTCATTATTATTGTGTTAAAACACGGAAAAACGAGCCCTTAGGTATACACTTCTTTCCCTTATATATATATATATATATATATATATATATATATATATATATATATATATATATATATATATATATATATATATATATATATATATATATACATATATATACGGACTCTTCCACCAACATGATAGATCGCTTATCAAAGCAGCATTGAAAATTCGTTACATCACTCAGCACTGGAAGGGAATAGATCGTGGACCTCATACTTTGGAACAGCCTTTTATATTCAATAAGCCAGTTATTCAGTGTACTTGAAGCTATGTGAAATCTCTGGAAAACAAGAGTCGCGGGTTTCTATGACACCCCCGCTACAAGCATTTTTATTCTTTGATATCCGGGACGCAGTGGTTGAAAATATGGCGCGATGGCTCACGTTATCTGCCTGTCAATTCAGCGATTACACTTTTCCAGGGACTAGAACGTAACATAAAAACTATTTGTATCTAGAACGGCAACTGCGGCAAGTGTAGTGATTCACGCTGGTTCCTGCACGTTTATTATAGTTATTTTGCATCGCAAGAAATTACGGAGATATCACGGAAACCAAGATAAGCTCTCTCGTCATACGTAGTGGTGGTGGCTTCGTTGATAATGACCGGCGATCTTGAGCTAGAAGATGTTGGTTCAATTCCGACACCGCGGCCGCATTTCGATAAAGGTCAAATACCAGAAAGCAATCTGTTCAGATATTAGGAAGCGTGTAAACTGCGTCGAAACAAAATGACTCTTATGTCACCGAACTACGAAGTGTCAGATGATCGTGGGGTGGTTTTGGAATGTCCAATCCGAGAATTCGACTTAGAACGGTTCTCGTGTCGAGGGATGTCAAGGGACTGCTGTCGCCACCTTTAGGGAGAGTTGACAAGCAATATTGTGACGCACATCCTCCGAAATTTTCGCAGGAGCTGCACGGGAGAAAACAGGGAGGCCATTATTGATTTTCGTAAATGTTGGCTTCTTCGTTGACAGGTGGCGGCAGTTGCTTGTGAATCTGGTGTACCTAACGATCAAGCTTTCTTATAAGTGTTTTTTCATAAAACATGCTTATGTGGTGGTTGTCATTAGACATCATGGTGCATTAAGACACTAGAAAGATGGATGCTCCCCTGTGATCAGTAGATCACTGTGATTGAATAATTGCATATACTCGTGAGGTCATATACACAAATGACATTTCATTCTCACGCCTCGTATATTCAAAAATACTATGTCACAGGAATGGCAGTTTAGAAGACAAATAGGGATTACGACATGAAACGCAAGAAAACTCTGCAAACCGTTCATCAAAATGCTTCAAAATTATAGCAGAACATGTACTCCTTTCCACATGTTTGAAGCCGCATTTATGTCTATCAAATAAATAATGTCAAAAATGAAAAATACCTAAGTATTACCTTAGTAAAAATGAAAGCTTTTCTTAGTATCGCGTAAGAGATGCGTGAGCGTTTGCTACTAATCAACTGTCATGTCTTCGTTTTATTATGCTTTGTCGTAACAACTATAACCCGTCCTTTTTAAAGCGCAAGTGGTTTTTCCTGAAGTCAAGGGGGGAAAACTCGGAAGTAATATCGTACGTTCCGCAATCAGCTCCTGCAATGCATCCTCTCTACGAGTTCGTTTCATTAGGCGTGTTTGCAATAAAAAAAAGAAATTTTATCGATGTTTTAACACACCTCGAGGTGGCTACTCTAGCCCAAACGTTGATCTCATCTCGTAGTATTCATCCATGTGAAATAGCTCTGTGACGCGCGCCTGCCCCCGAGAAGTTGCAGTGGCCCCGCCTGGTGAATGACATCACGGCACGGACTCTTCGACACTAGCCGCGGCCTGCCTACATAGTGATGCGCTCGCTTCATGCGTTGTTCCAATGTTTGCGTTCACTTTTTGCTTGTCTCAAGCGGCAGGTGAATGAAGAAAACAGATCTGGTAATGTTTCAGGTAAAACAATAAAAGTTTTACTTTTGCTTCTGCACAACCATGCGCTTGGTCGTAAATCGGTTTGAAATATGTGAAAAGGTCCGTGTCGAGCTGCTAACCCCGATTATGAATTCTATTAGTGGCCACAACAGTTGCATGCCGGCGGATGTGAAAATCCATAACGCGCTTCTGTTTAAATAAAACAAACACAGTGACGCACATTCATGTGAATTGGAGAAGTAATTACGACATCATATTTATATTATGAGGTTGACATGTGCATGGATGATTCCTTTCGGGGATATCAGGGTTTCTCCTCCGTTAGATTACTTTGTACCGGAGTAATCCACGTATCTATGGGCAGCGCTTTCGCAAGTGTATCAAGCCGCACGATCACATGCAGCATCGAGTATCGCAACATATACCGGAAGGCGCTCGCCCTACAGAATACCGACGTCGGTGTTTTGTGTTTTTCTCGTGTACTTGCTCACTCAACACGTTGTTTAGTGGCGGGTTTCTCTCACAGTAATTTTGAAGCTCTACCTGGCCGAAATTATCTAGGTATAGTGTGGTTGTGGTTAGGTGCGGAACTTCTTATTGCGGTCAGATTCTGTCTTCATGCAGAATCATAGCGACGATGCGGTCACGCTCTGAACTACCAGTTTAGATATACCACCTCCTATGTTAAATTTTCTGACAGTTGGTTACCTGTTGGTGGACTTGACGTACGAGACCAGTCGTCGTATCATTGAGGCGATGGTTGTTAAGTTAATTTATGGGTCCACAAGCCTGTAGGTTGAAATTTTCTTCGGGGTTGGGGGAGGGCAGGTACTTGAAATGGTCCTTTTTCTATTTGCGTGGGAAAATATTTGGGTGTTAAGGACATGCCCGGTGAGCATTCTCTGGTTACGGCACTGCTTGGGTCATGTACGTCAGTGCGCCATAGAAAGAGTTCATTTCGACTTTCTCACGTTTGCGTTCAAATTGTTGCTATCAGCGGTGCTCCCCCGGGAAGATCCCATTAGCATTTGTGAGGCGGCGGTAGAACACTCAGCGTTTCGCGCTAATCAGGGTATAGGACTACATAATGCCTGGCGACTGTTGAGAAGAAACATGTACATATAATCCCAGTGAACAGAGATGTTTATTATTTGCTAAATGATTGTGTGTGTGGCAGTATTATTTTATTTGTTTGACGGGTATGTTGCGTGAGTACTTAGAAAAGTCAATGTCTTGTAATGTCTCCTGTCGAAGAAACCGCAGTTCTGTTACATCATTTAGATCATTCGCAGATGCAGGCGTAACTTGCACGGTAAACCGTAATGCGTTTAGTCAATTGAAAATGTCCTAATTTCATTTTTGATACTTCGGCACAGACATGTCCTAATTCAGGATTCTATTCCTAGCTGTAATTACGTTAGTACCACACAGCATATATTTTTTTGCGCCCATCCTGTGGCGTACGCGATAAAAACAACGAAAGTCCTCTCCTGCGTCCCGATGTTCACAGTAAATCTTCCATTCGGACAGGAGTCTGCCTATCCTAAGCTAAACTACGGAAACTTCTAACCACTTTAAAAACTTCCACTAGTTGTGAAACCTTGCACTTTGTATATTGACAAATTACCGTGAAGAAATAGAGGAGTATTCAGTAACGTATCGCTTAAGAGCTTGTACGCAGGGGGCACAGAAAAAGGCGACAAGTGCCGGCGGAGCATGCGAGTCCTTGCCGTGGCGTCATATCGACACGACGCCAGTGTTTGTTCTCGGGGCTAATGGCATTCTCCGCCGTGGTTGGGTTTCGCAGAAATTTGGAAGATGGCGTAGGCCTCTTTGACTGTGTGCGAAAAATCATCATTTTGTTCGTACCAAAAAATCTAAAAAATGCACATAAAATATATAAATGTTTTTGGGCATGAGTGAGGATCGAATCCAGGCCATTCCCGTGGCAAGTAGGTGTTCCACCACACAGCCACGTGTTTCTGTGGAAACACAGTGAAAATGTCTTCCCCTGCTTGGAAATGCAGTGAAATCATTTTTTTTCTTTAGAAAAGACGCGTTCAGTACAAGGGCCTCACAATGATGTATGTAACATCGAAGTAATATTGCGTGGCATACGCATACATTGCCATCGGGCGTCAGATTATGTGATTATTATGATGACTTCCTGGTTCAAAGCCGGCTACCCATTACAAAAGGCACAGATGTTACTGCACATACTGCACATACTTTATGATCACGTATAGTGGGTGCATCGGAAGTGCAAAAACATTTCACGTGCATAAATTTCTCATTGTTTAAATTATATGCTACCTTTCACACAGAATGCAGCTATGTGCGAAAAGTTCACTGGTGCGACCCACTTCTAACTTCATCGATTACATTACAGTACTCCACAAGGGTTGCCTTCAGTAACGTTTTACGATAAAAAGCGTGCACTAAGTGGTTGAAGTAACGAATAGAGACAGGATATTGCCGTTCATTTGAACTCCTAAAGGCGAAGCTTAATGATCCCCCAATTTTTAAATGAACTTATGCGGTATTTTTTTCTCCCAAAGTCTATACCATTCCCAGAAGTGAGGGGCAATCACACGAAATTTTTCACTCGTTAGAGACTGTTCCCATTCTCCAGCCGCCTCTGCTAATATTATGTCTAGCGTCAGTAGGAGCTGAAATATTATTGTATGAACATTCCAAGCTAAGCTGTTTTTGTGCAATGAACTTTACAGCCGAGAGCACCGGGCCTGTGGGTGAGAAGACACCGCACAACATGTCCATCATCAAAAAGCTTGTCAACTTCATACGAGGCTGCGAACAGAGAGGTGGGTATACACAAGGTATTAGTTGCCCTAACTAAGTTGCGTCTAACCTGTTTGCATGGCTCAGATCAAGTGTTTCAAAATACGCAATATTTATTTATTTACACGTACCTTACAGGCTCCTTGGGGAGCATTAAGAGGAGCATCACAAAAAGAATTGGAAAAGAATGCGATGCATGAGTCTGAAAAGTGCAACAGTAACGTACTTTCGAGACGGTGAAACAAATTGAATTACATGGCAAAATAATACTAACAATAACACCAACTACTAACGGCACAATATTATGAAAACAATACTCAGGAAAAGTAAAAATGAGCCACAAAGTATTACTAACGGAGTATTACTAAGAAAACAATGCTCAGAAAGTAATGAAAAAATTAACACTCAGTTTTCCACAAAGAACGGCACGGAAGTACCGCTCTTTTTACAACAGAAACTACTTAATAAAACGCTCATTTAGAGAATATCTGCATATCAGGTGTGTTCCTGCGCTTTCGCTAGATTCCCGTGGGCTGACTAACTTCTTATGACATTATAATATTCAATATTATATTATACAAGGTAAATATTGTAGCTGAGGCACACAGGCACAAAGACAGAATTTTGTTTGGGGGGGGGGGGAAAGGGCGACAAAGCTTAATTGTTTAAAAGGAAATCTTTCAATAGAAAATAGACAGAAAGTTGCCCGGGAAAGTAAAAGATGCCTAAATGGTAGAAGCAATTGAGAACAAAGTGGAATGTCGCACAGGAGGCAAGTTAATAAGCAGCGGGAAGCGAATTTAGACACTACAGTGAACCTATTGCGTGTGCAGCAAAAAGAATTCTTTTTACCAAATAATCTCGATCAAGAAAGACCATACAAGGCAGTAATGTGAAACCAAGTAAAAAAAGAAAAAAGAGGGCAGGAGTTGAATGCGAAGAAATAGGTCTTTCACTTATGCAAGTACATCAGAAAGAAAAAGAAAGTATCGGACGCTTTCTTCTGCCAAACTTTTCACACTGTCTTGCCATCAAGCGTGCGATAAGAGCAAGAGCCATTTTATGGCAGGATGTTATAAACAAAGTATGCACACATTCGGGAAAACAATGTTATTGGACAAGCCCTGCCGCGGTGGTCTAGTGGCTAAGGTACTCGGCTGCTGACCCACAGGTAGCGGGATCGAATCCTGGCTGCGGCTGCTGCATTTTCAATGGAGGCGGAAATGTTGTAGGCCTGTGTGCTCAGATTTGGGTGCACGTTAAAGAACACCATAGGTGGTCGAAATCTCCAGAGCCCTTTACTACGGCGTCTCTCATAATCATAGGGTGGTTTTGGGACGTTAAACTCCACATATCAATCAATCAATGTTATTAGACAACGAAGAATCAAAGCACAGGTTCTCCCCTGACACAAAAGAGGCGGAACATTAACATTAACTTTAGCAAGCAATTTTAAAGAATGGCCTTGCGAGTGGTTTGACCATGTAGTAAAGGTCAGTACAGACGAAAAAAAAAGAGCAAATAGCCTAGCCGAAGGGAGCGGTTCACGCTACAAATTTCATGCCTCGAAGTTCCTCCATAAACACACTGATAACCTTGTAAATGTGACTTGTATTCACTGAATGGACATTAGGGCCCTACCATCAAGCCACTCCTCAAGTCCGGAAACCTTTTTTCAGTGTCAAGAAGCTGCGTTCTGCTTAGCTGTGCTCACTGGGGGCGTTTCCAATATCTTGAGGAGTGTTGGAATGTTCGAGCAGAAGGCTTCGTCACATTCAGTAAAGGTTTGCGCCGCGAAGCGGAGAAATTCGTCCTCTTTCATAGCTTTTCATTTAGTTTTGCAGATTTACCATTCACCTTTCAGTGTAGGCACATGAGCTGTTGTCCGATCTCTGAGGTAAAAATTGAAGGCCGGCAGCACCGATTTCAAATTGACTTTTTAGGTGTGCTTTGGCAACACACATTGCAAACTTCAAGTGTTTCGCGACGGTTTCTGAACCATCGTTTGAGGGAAGATTTCAGGCCATCAATTTACGGAAAGAACAGCTAACGCTTGCCCGTAGTACTCGTCCGAAAAACGGCAATCGTAGCACGCCCGGTATCTATGTGTTTCTGCCACCCATGGAACATCGCTCTTAAATCCAAACTCTGCCGCTCTCTCTTTACATAGAGAAAATATATTGTGAAATGCTGCCGCCGCGTTAGTTGCCATCTCTTCCAGCTTATTTAGCACCATGTCGACCTATTCCAAGGTGACGCTCAATAGATGTCGATAGATGGACTCTGCTCATACGCAGACAAGGGGTGCGTGAGGCCTAGGAACGCCACCAACAGCGAGGCATATAAGAAAGATGGGCGAACAGATTCGCTGATGGAGGCAATGAGCGGTGGACGCTGTTGCTTTGTCGCGGGAGGTGGCCCTAAACTCATCAAATGAGGAAACTTTCTGGGAAAGCGCTACTCCAAACAATGTAACTGAATCGTGACGTTTCACTCACCTTGTTTCACAATATTGACGTAGCAAGCCGCAGACTCTCCTAGATGTTTTATCACAAAATTTGTTTCAATAAGGGGCAAAGAAAAAGAAACCGGAAAAAAAAATTCCAAGGCATCCACCGAAGATTTAAAGCAGCGACCTCTCGCTCCTCAGTGCACTGCAAGTTAGCCAACTAGGCCACGCCGCTCGTACTTTATTCGCACTAACGATCAGATTTGTATATACACCATTAGCCGCCGGCTTACTGTGAATGAATTTAAAAGAAACGTTCTTGAACAAAGTATTTACTTTGTTTCAACAAGCCATGCATGACTTCCCTGAAATGACATGGCCGATGACTTGACCAATGGAGGGGCGGGTTAGTAAGGCGCAAACAGTTCGTTGAAAGGGACATTCTGAAATATCTCTGGCTCCGCTTCAACTCTGAAGCAACATAAAAAATTGCTAGCCCAAAAGCCAGGAATATACAGGAAATAGCTGGTCTTGTCGTGCCTGTGAATTCAATTCCCATCAAAATGCGCACCGCCACTATCAATTCAGCCAGAGAAACTCCCCTCGCTGCTCCAGAGGAGTTGTGGTGACGCTTGGTCCTTTGAACACCACACACTATCGTCGTCGCAATATCCCACCATGACCCTTGCGGACTGACTTCATGAACTTCTTGCTGCGCCACTCCCGTGTGGTGTGCCCACAGGATATGCCAATAGATTGTCACTGGAAACTTCAACGTTAATGTACTTACACGTGAAAAGCAGTGACCTGCCACGTTTTTTGGTGCTGTACTTAGACTTCACCTCCTATAGGCCGTCACTCAGTTAACACTTCACAACAACACCTGCTTTGATACTGTGAATACTGCATTACTGTCAATTCAAACACAATTAACCATGTTCACTAGATTTTGACTTGTTCCTCAATCTTCTTGCCTTACTTTGTGTAACAGCTCGGTGTGTTGCTATCGCATTCAATGCTTCGGCCTTGTGCTGGAACTGACTTTTTTTTTCAGGACTGCTGCCATTTTGGGTGACACACGAAAGAAGTGCACACTTAATCATTGTGCCGAATGCCCGTCAAATGTTGCGGCCAGCTTAGGCGTCACTCAAACAAAGGTTCTAGGAGTGCGACCAGCAATGTATATATAGAGCCCTGGGGAAGTCGTTTCGGATGAGCGCCTGTAAATCGCTGAATGCCCCTCTCATCGGCGTTGCTGCATCGAATTCATGGCCTATCATTAGGTTCAAGTGCAAGCATAGATTCAGCAAATCTTTTTTCAGTGCGTCAGCTAGGCTATAGACACGCTGACATCGTCAACTGCTGCGAAGCAGAGGAAACACCCCCGAACGCTCAACGTAGCGGGATATATATAGCGTACGCACAACGAGAATTGCTCGGTTTGGGATCCATCCGTTGTTTCTATTGCCAGCACCGAAAAAAAATTAAGCCTCGTTTACCTGTATAAAAATTTTACATTGTATAAGCTTGCCAATTGCTGGAACGATTTCATTTTTAATGTGTGGACACAGCAGGCAACAATGCTTTGTATGTTATTGGCCAAAATGGTGCCTTCTCCATTCGCTCCATAACGTAGGAGCACCCTGAGGTTGCCCTCGTTTTGTTAGCGTTCCTCGAAAGAAAGACGCCCCGAATCTTTATCATCTCTCAGGGCGACGTCTTGACGGCCGCACGGTACAATCGTCTCGACAATTGCACGCAACTTTGTCTTGTTGTCTTCGAGCTCACCCTTTACTTGCTTATTAGGCTGTACGTGGTCAATGCTTGATTTTTTCTCTGGCGACTTTGGAGAAGAGTTCCGTGTCAACCGTTACTGTCTTGTGGCATTCAGTTCGTGCATGATTCTCGAACGTCTGAATGACATCGTTCCACTTCGTAAACAGGAATGTTGCGAGTTTCCTACATGACAGGTGAGAGCCTTTACCCGCTTCACCCTTACGACAGAAAAATACTCAAGTTTTGCAAAACGCTGCCTTTTGCACGAGAGAAAATGCAAGTCACCCATATCACTGCAACCAGTGACAACAAAACGTGCGCATTTTGCGTTGGCTAAGGCACACTTGTAGCTTGGTGGCGGATTCAACATATAAATGCTGCCATCAAGTTACAAGTTTCAAATTTCGGTAGCCAAGAGTGTAGGCGTGTGTGCGAGGAAAGGGGCTTAGAGAGGGGAGGTGCCCAATTCATTGACTTAGAAGTATAGGGGAGGCGCTGCGATAAATTTTCGCCCCCCTCCATAAAGAACCATGCACATGCATATACACTCAACTTCTCAAGTTTATCGACAAACACATCGCTAGTAAACTAGAAATGCGCATAGGTAAATATGATGATAATTAAATACGGGCTATTTGCTAGGACAATGCAAGTGGGCAAAAACAAAACCGCGCTAAGCGATGGTAAATTTGTACAAGTGACTCGGAGAAAAAAGGAGGTCACCTATGCTTATTACAAGTGAAATTCACAACTGTGGCTATGAAAGTACACACATGTTATCGCCTTGGGCTTCGGGCTTGCTTTCCTAACGAATCGGTGCCAAAACTGACGGTGTTATAATAGCAAAGATCTCTTTAGCAGCTCACATACCTCACCAAAATTATGTGTTACTAGCAACAGCATATTGTATGCTATCCACGTAGTTCAGCAGGCCTAAATTAATTTTAGTATACTATGTCCCTGTGCAATGTCCACAGAAAGTATGGTGGACGTCGGTGTGCGGCCACTTAAGCGGGTGCTTGCTGAGTTGGGCCTGCGCACGTGGCCAAGCGTGCGCGCAACTGAACCGGCCGTCGAGATGGTCGCGGGACTTGTCACCAGGGCACTCGGCGAGCCCACCATGTTCTCAGTCTCATACGGACCTGATCTCGCCAACCAATCACGCAACATCATCACGGTGAGAGACTTGCTTATGTTGTGGGATATAGTTTTCGATAGCCTAGGGTCCATGTTTCTTTTCAAGGCGCTAGTCTGTTTAGGATACTTGAACGTAGAAGTTTCAGTCTGTTTGTCTGTCTGTACACAAAGTTATGCCAACTTAAGACAGTACTGCATCCTTAGACTGACTGCCAAACGTTCCCTAGGAAACAAAAAAAAAAACAAATCTCGAGATTGTCATTTTGATATAATTGTTTGGGCGTATTTCCTCTGTAAACAGTATAAACTAAGCCGCAACTCTGCATCTTTCTAAAAGTAGACAGCCACATAATATTATCCACATGCCGTCTTTTTTATACATGAAGATACACAGACAAATGTTCTGTTTATTTCACTTTGCGCACGCACTGAAATCATAAAAGAGATCGGGTCCATTGCAAGCCTGTAGCGCATTTCAAAGTTTTTCATCAAATTTTGTAAGCTGGTGCTCATTCAATAATTTACTGGAGTTATACATGAGCCCTACTACTACTACTACTGACTCATGGGTACTACTTCTCTTTATGCTTCCTAATATCTTTCCGCTTGGCCTAATGTTTTCGTAACTTTTTTCCCTCTTATGTAAAGGGCACGGAGGAAAGACTCAAAACACACGAACAGGTTTCTGGTATGTTTTCATCAAGCACTATTTATTACGTGAATTCCCAGAAGTTTGTCCAAATTTCAGTTCTGCTCTCGCTCTGCTTTCTTCTTTAGCGTCCTGGTTCAGTATTTATTCACCATGGAGACTTTGCTCGACGAAGGTAGGCACTGAGCGCAAATTTGGCATTGGTTGATATGACCTACAAGAGGGAAATTGTCCTTGTTTCCCAGGTCAGCTATTATTAGGGTGCTGATGATGGTATGTACCTGGAAGTTAAACACGATGACAAAATTTTAGTTATCCTGCACTCAGCATATAATTATATCATGTTACAGAAGTGATATTGCTAGTATCACTTCTTTAACCTTTACTAGCTAGCAGAGCACCATACCTCTTAACAGGAAATGACAAAGAATAATGTTTCTTTTAGCCTTGTTAAAGAGATGTGGTATTAAAAGTAAAGTTAGCACATCTTAGGAATTTTTAGGAAAGCATATTCACACACGTTTCTACTCAATAAACAAACACAGCACAAGCACTGTGTGTGTTGTGTGTTTACTAAGTGGAAGCAAGTGTTAATATGTGTTTCTAGGAATTCTCAAAACGGGCTATTATGCTTACCATGTGACGAGTTAGCAACTAGCCCAAGAAGCTTTAATTCAACAAGCGTGATTGAATAGACGTACCTGTAATCAGGCCACGTATTATAACAACCCCTGGGTCCTACCAAACTCCTTAGATCCAACAAAAAGAAGGCAGACTCCTCAAATGTACAAACGATCTTTTGACCTAAGGATAAATCCCTAGCTTGGCTTCACTCACACAATTCAGCCTCCCAGCCAAAGTTCGAGCATTTGTTGAGGGTGCCCAGCCATTTTGAATTGGTGGCTGCGTTCATACCTGTAGACATTGTCGGTCAAAATTAAATATTACGAATATCTGAGCCGCAACATCAATACGAAGTATTATTAGGTGTGTTCCTCTATCACAAATTGCATACATTTGTATTTGTAAAATGCCTAACATTCCTTACGCTGTGCTGATATTGCGACTCTGCACAAAAAACTGATATGGTCCTGCCACCTCGCAAGACGGAAATGGCATTATAGCCGCGGATGAGACCAGGGCTCATGTAGTACGCCTTGCAAAAACCCATCGTCTTTTGACAACATTTTTTACTTATTTATTTATTTATTTACAGTACCTTACAGAGCCCTCGAGGGGCATTGTGTAAGGGGGTGGTACAGGTAATATGTTAGAAAAATATATATACATGTATATCTACACATACATAGAAAAATATTGACTGTAATAGAAAAGGCAGTTCAACTTATAAACATAAAGGCAAAATACATACTAGAAAAGTGAGTTACAGTATGTGAGGGTGAAATACAAAAAAAATATTATGACAGTAGCTACAACTTAGCAATAGTTCAAAAACATCGGCAACAGTCCTATAAACACTGATGATTATGAAGATGTGATAGAGCAGCTTTTGGTGCATAAGTATTTTTTCAGAGTACGATAGAACTTTGAGTGGTCTTGTTCTGACGCAGGATCATCTGGCAAATCATTCCACAAACGAATAGCTCGTGGAAGAGCTGACTGGTTGAAAGCGTTAGTATTGCCGTACATGCGTGATAAGCTAAAGGTGTTATGTAGTATGCTCGAAGATCGATGTGCTAGATTAAGGTGAACAGATGGCATCATGCTGGTGTGGATGAGTTTTTGAAATAGTGATAAAAGTGAGATATCGCGGCGAATTTTCAGTGGCTCGAGTGCAAGGGTATGCTTGATCTGTGTTACGCTGGACGGGTAGCTGTGATTATGCGCTATGAATCGACTAGCTCTGTTCTTTATACATTCTAACTTATCTATGACGTATTGTTGATATGGGCACCAAATGGAGGATACGAACTGCAGTTGAGGACGGATTAGAGCAAGATAAGCCAGTTTGCGCACATCGGAGGGAGCACTGTATAGATTTCGGCGCAGAAAACCTAATGATCTTGATGTGTTGGCACAGACAGAAGTGAAATGTGTGGACCACGAAAGTGTAGAAGTTACGTTTATGTCTAGGTATTTGTACTCATCAGTGCGTTCTACAATGCTATTATATATTATGTATTGGCTATTAACGTTACCACGTTTGGGACTAAAGGTGATTAGTTTGCATTCAGAAACATTAAGTGTCATCTGCCATGTTTTGCACCACTCAATAATATGGCCGAGGTCTTTTTGAAGAGTCTAGATGATCGCTATTGTTGCGGATGGGACGATAGATAATGCTGTCACCGGCAAATATACGCATACATGAGGATAATTTGTCAGGCAGGCCGTTAATATAGATGAGGAAAAGTAAGAGACCAAGAACACTGCCCTGTGGTGCACTAGAGGAAACGTAACAAAGTGATAAAGAGTGATTGTTGGCGATAGTGAATTGTTGGCGGTTAGTTAGGAAGTTTTTGAGCCATGTTAGCGTGAGTGAATCAAGTTTTAGTGATGACAGTTTTAATATCAAGCGACAATGAGCAACACGATCGAAAGCCTTTGCAAAATCAAGAAATAAACAATCTGTCTGTAGATTACTGTTCATGTTAGAATGTAGGTCGGTGGTGAACTCAAAGAGTTGAGTCTCGCAAGAACGACCCTTTCAGAACCCGTGCTGGTTAGAGAAAAAGAAACTGTTAGATTCTAGATGCGCATAAATGTTAGAAGCTATGATATGCTCAAGCATCTTGCAACATATGCACGTCAAGGAAATGGGGCGATAATTTTCAGGTGAACTTTTACTACCACTTTTATGGACTGGCACTACCCTCGCTATCTTCCAGTCAGAAGGCAACATTCCTGTAGTGAGCGACTGCCAAAAAATGTAAAACAGGATAATGCCAGACACATAAGCAGTGTTCTCTAATATTTTTGAATTGATATCGTCAATACCAGAAGATGATGACATCTTCAGATTTTCAATAATTTTAACTATGCCTTCAATTGTGATATCTATAGGTGACATGAATGAGTAATCGCGTTCAACAATTTCTGGAAGATGATCATGCTCGCTAGTAAACACGGATGAAAAGAATGAATTAAAGACATGAGGACAATGAGTGTCGGTAAAAGGAGTGTTATTTGCATCCTGTAATGAAATGAATTTATCGTCCCTATCAGGACTTATTACTTTTCATAATTTTTTCGGATTAGATTTTAGGAGTGAAGGCAAATCCTAGTAATAGTATTTATTTTTCGCAGTTGTAATTTCGTGGCAATATTTCTTTAGGCATTCCTCGTATCTATCCCAAGACGTGTGTAAAGGCGAATTTTCTGCAGACCGATAAATGCAGCGAAGCATCCAGACACACTGCCATTTTTTTATCAGTGCCGGCCTAAAAGTCACTTGAGGCTGACCTGGAATTAAATACTAGCACTTGGGTAATAAACTCATGCATATCGCATACATACCTCTGAGGTGCTCTGAGGAAGACCGAATGAAACACATGGACACATACTAGGTCTATGTGCTCCTCACCACTGCTTTTATTTTAACGCCTGAAAGTCTTGCTTACGAAATTTCACAAACTTATTCTTACTGATATATCTTTCAACTGGTTCCTGGCAGAGTTTCTATTGAAACCCTGTGCTTTTATTTTTATCGAACATTTTCGAAAGGTTTGAGGTGTCTAATGAGAGTGGTACGTCGCTAAGCGCGTGGTAGAGATATGGGCGAGTTGTAAACGATGCCATCTCGTAAAACTAGCCTGGGCCCGACGAAGACGAGAAGGACGCGGTGTGAGCGGAGGCACCACGCTCTTGAGCATTCGTACTCTGCTATTCCTGTCGTTTGTGCCCGTCCTGTTTGGACCGATTTTCCAACTGGGCATCGCTAAGTGTGAGGTAAATTGTTTTTCATGCAAGTAAAAATTGACCCTCAAGAACATTCCTGAAGGCTCCAAAAAGCAGCTGGGAAAGCTCTGGTGATTGATATTGTGAAGGCAACTTATGGGCGACGTAATTAGTTGTGAATGAAAGAAGCACACAGGCGATTCCTTTTTGGTGAATCCCTGCAATGATTCCACGAATAATAACATTGCGAAAGGTGTTGACGTGGACGTGATGGATTCGAGAAGTGTTACAGAAGGTCGTTACGACGTGTTAATGTAACTTGTGGGCGTCCCTCAGCGGGCCATCAGAGTATTGTAAAGACTTGCTGAGCATCCGTTTCAGATGGAACGCAATAACATTAAGCAGGTCGTTTCGTAGAAAACCCAATGTTGGCAGCGGTGGTGGCGTCATGTTGGTTGCTATCAAAAATTAGCGTTGTCTCCGAGGGAAAACCTAAAGTGGATGCAAGTAAAGAAATAATCAAAATCATTCGGTTCTTGTGGTACCGAACATTTCAACCAGCGATTGCTCATGCAGAAATGCGATGACCTTAAACGCGCATCATATAGCACACTAACCATAAAATAGACAACTTTAGTTGAGCTTATGTAACTAATGTATGTACGCAGAACGGCTGCACGAGAGAAGTGCGCCTGCGCAGTAGGCAAAATATTTATTCCACGCCCGTAACAAGACGCTGCGTACATAACGCAACCCTTACTTCATTGCGTTCTCGCGAAAGCTAGAACAAACCACAAACGATAGCAAATGATAGCTGTAGTGGCGTTAGCCACAGACAGCAACGCATACTGCGAGTTGCGTGTACTGCACGTTGAGAGGCCATGTTTGCATGCCAGAAAAGGTACACTCAAGATGCACGTTTTGGCATTCTGGTGAGTCGCAAGACATGGCTCCGCGTCTCACAGTTCTCAAGTAACCGTCTTTACAGGTTGTACTGTGGCCTAGCATACTTTTGAAATCTCTGGCGCTGATAAGCATTGGAAAACATCTCTCGTACGACTTATAGCAATAGTTCAGTGAAACGCGTCACAGTACGTTAAACTAAAGGTGTTGTAGCACGCTTCGCTTGCAGCGTACGCAACGTATAGATAGTGCACAGCGTTCGCAACTTCTGCGTACGCCCCGACTAAAACGGGCTATATACACCCTTTGCTGTCAGTGGTGCGCACATGTGCAGGTGAATGAGGGTGGTGATTTGGGCTTGTTGGTATGGTAGCATGATAATATATAGCGCTGTGTTGTCTTGAATGTGCCTTCTCTTGTCTGTGTTCTTTGTCTGCGCTACCATATATTTATATTGTCCGAAGTATTTCAGCGTGGCGAATAGGTTTGACCGTGACCACTGATATGGCGCAAATAATCACAACGCCATGTTTTGTGGCCTCCGCGCATAAATATAAGATGGTTCAGCACTTTCGCTTTCATCACGACACAGCTAAGGTGTAAACCCGCAGCTAGGCTAGCCATTGGGAGAGTGATACAAGCGCGTTACAATTACGCTATTGAGTTCTACCCTGAAAGGCGAAGCTCAAGCGTCGTCAAATGTTCGCCTCTATCTTTTTGCGATACATCAATCGGTAGAAACAGCCAGCGGACACTTTAATTGCGATCCACTATTTATTGAAAATCAATCACTGGCCGCCTGTTTTTTTAAGTGTTAGTTTTATGGCCCTGCGAATTCTCACTCGTCTCTCCTCAAGTTTTTTTATCAAACGTTTTCTCAAACAAAAAACAAAACAACGTCCAATCAGCAATGTATTCTTAACGCGAATGCTTCAATTCTTCTTGCCGTGCACATTCATACGTTCTTAATGCTCGAGCATAGCAAGTTGCAGGAAGCACACAAAATAATAACAATTCAATCATACAAGATTTTCAATCTTAGCTCTACTTCGTCTAGGTCAGGCCACAAATATTTCAGCTCACCGCGGAAAGTGTATTACTCTAGTTGCACCACATAATGTACGCAGAAAAAATATTACTTTCAGTTTTACTACTGAAGTAATTATTCTACGGCAATATTATTTGAAGCTTTGCTGAACACGCAAAAAGTTTCTGTGTAACAATTACTCCAAAAAGCAAGAAACCTTACTGTGCATTGTTGCTCACCTCCTAACATTATTTCATTACCGCAATTTATCCTTAGCTTGTTTCATGTGTGAATATAGTATAGCCACAAGATCTTTGGTCTGTCACTGCAATCGTGTCACGTAGGTGGATCAACCAGCGTTGTCTATTCGCCGAGGTCACCTGCTGGGCAACCCGCGAAACCTAGAGGCGTACCGCGTAATCGTCAGACAAGCCATGAAGCTCACCAAGCCTCAGGAGCAGCTCGATGGGCTCGCTGGTGACGTCATGAACCTAGTGCATCGCATTGCCAGGGTGAGTGCCAAGAATATACCAATTCGCATATAAAAGTGAGGCTTCGTGGCCCGTATATTAGACTTCTTGTGCCACATCATCAGCGCTACACCCTTCTTAACCCCCGACATGCCATGTGAGAAATATGGAGACGGTAGCGAATATACGAGCTGTTTCGACGCAGTGACAGAAAAGGCACCATACCACAGCCGTCTTTGTTTCCATCGTATGAGCTACCACAGCAAGGATTAGGCTAAGGGTTTTCAAGAAACCACGGAAGAGTTATTAGGTCGTGATAGCATCTGCAAAAAGCAATACGCAAACGTGGACTCAGTGCTCGCTGCGTCGAACATCTGGTATTTTGGAAGCACGACCACGCAAGAAAGATGTCCCCTAATGGTTAGTCTCATAGTGAATTTAGAATACCGTTTCAGTTTTTACGAACGCCGGGTTCACATTCAGACACGTTAGGCCTGCCTGAACCTCCTCAACCCACAAAATCTATCTGGGTTGAAACATTCATGAGCATTGATTCGACTGATCGGCGTAAGACTCTGACTGCAACTGTGACTCTTGTTTTTGTCGTATTTTCTGTTCAGTCAACAAAAACTGCGAAAGAAAGACTGAAAATCGGCTCTCACTTTCTGCGAGAAAGAATGGACAGCCTTCAAGCGAAGACAAGGGTAAGTGGCAAACACAATATTTCAAGCATTTTTTCTAGCGTTTTCGTACAAAGATGCACCATAAATGGAAGAATTGACAACCGGAAGCTCAAAAAACAGATCACCAGTGTTACACAAGAGAGGTGACTTTTTTCAGCAGGGGCTCGTTAAATATTTTGACTGTAGTATCATCCACACGGAATCGTCAGCGTCGCCCACAGCCGCATTCTATACATCTTTATTGAAGTGCTAGTGACAGTAGCTGGTGAAGCAGAATTCCTTCCATTACGCAGCCTTACTTTTATTGTACAAATGTAGCTTTCTCCGGATAAGTAAACTGGTCGAAAATTACACGTTCAGGAATTCACCAGATTGATGATTCATCTTCCAAAAGTAAGATGTCGACCACACTATGCGGTTCTTGCAAAGCATACGACTCACCGCTCGTGCCCACAAAGTTCTTTATTCCTCAATACAAAAAGATTGAAGCCACTGCGTCAAAGGCACCCACTTAGAAAATTGTTGACTCTTCTTTTGCTATTGTCACAACAGCTCTTCATAAAGGAACCTCCAGAGTGGTATTGAACTCTTTTCTTCACACTCATGGGATGGAAAGGTGTGATGTCATCAATTCTTAATGAAAGGCATGTCCAGGTCCCAAGATGACACCGGCTGTTTATACATCCAAGCACTACTGAGGGAAAAACCAGCAGTGGTGTCGGTGTACGTTTGCGAATTTTCAAGCAGGGAGGGCGTAACCTTTTGAATACAAGAAAAGTGGGTATTATTTTGTGCTTACAACGTTACCTGACCTCATGCGCAGGTACATATCTACCTCGAAAATGCCCTCGATTTATTTTATCACTATTACTAAGGCATTGCGTTGCCTCAACAACCAAATAATTTTGCTCAATTATGTGAAGGAGGGAGCTGCAAAGGCTCTACTTCCATTTGTCCGATATAGTGCTATGGTTAAGCGTAGAGAAAGTGCAATATCAGGGTATTCATATGGCGTGTTGTGTTGTTGCCAATGAGATGTATGCAAGACCTCGTAGTTGCGCCGTTACTTCAGAATATTGAATAAAATTGATTGATTTGTGGGGTTTAACGTCCCAAAACCACCATTTGATTATGAGAGACACCGTAGTGGAGGGCTCCGGAAATTTTGACCACCTGGGGTTCTTTAACGTGCACCCAAATCTGAGTACACGGGCCTACAACTATTCCGCCTCCATCGGAAATGCAGCCGCCGCAGCCGGGAATCGAACCCGCGACCTGCGGGTCAGCAGCCGAGTACCTTAGCCACTAGACCACCGCGGCGGGGCAATTTTGATTAAAATAAATGCTGTTAAACACTCCATGCGTATAATAGGCCTCTGCGAAACTGTAGTTGGCCAGGGTTTTCTACTTCCCATAGCTTCAGCTACCTCATTGGCATGTCTCATTTGAGCATGTTTGACCTGTGGCTTAGCTACTTCCACCATGGTGGTATAGTTGTCATGGCACTCAACCGCTCATCCAAAGGTCGCAGCATTGTATCCCGGTTGTGCTGCTGCATTTTAGATAGACGCGCAAATATCTCAGGAGCATGTAGTTAGATTTAACTGCACGCTACTGAATACAAGGTGATATAAAGTTTTAAGCCTTCCACTATGCTCGGTGTTCCTTATGATAGCTTAGTTTTTAGAGGGTTAATTTCATATTATTCAATTATGAGGCGTATTATCTCTTCCATTGTTGAAAGCATGGAAAAATTTGGATTCGCCAGTTGTAGCGTGTCTTTTCACATTTTTCATATAATAATAAAATCTACATCATCTACTTCAGCTACAAAATCTACTTCATCTACAGTTTCATGCTTTTCATGGGAGAAAATGTACACAGAAGAAATAGATGAGTTTCCTTACATCACTAATAGCTATACTTGGAATATATTGTTCTGTTTTCAGAAGGAAAAGCATTAAACGCATTTCACCAATGAAGTATATCTGCGTTCATAGATAGGGTGCAGCGCCTCTTAGAGTGAAAATCGCGCGTTCACTACCACATCCGCGTGGTGGTGATGGCGGGCTACAAGAAGCAATTTTTCACTGCATGTTATCTGTTGTTTCATTTGAAATTGCCATATGTACGTTATATGTTCTTTGACAGCACACTTCCAATTGGGTATAACGTGTTATTTTCATTGCTTACAACTCGCCTGCTAGGCTACAACATGGAAGTTTTCTCTCTCTTCTCTCTACTCTCTCTCTTTCCATATATATATATATATACATATATATATATATATATATATATATATATATATTAATATATATATATATATAAATATATATATATATATATATATATATATATATATATATATATATATATATATATATATATATATAAGGGAAAGAAGTGTATACCTAAGGGCTCATTTTTTCCATGTTTTAGCACAATATTAATGAGATCTAACAGACAGTAATGCCAAGGAATGTACAGGGGAAGTTATTAGAACCAATGGAATGTAAATAAGCAGAAAGAAAAATGAATGAAAAGATAACCAGCCGTGGGCAGGAATCGAAACTACTACCTTCGAATAACGCGTTCGATGCTTTAACCACTGAGCTACCACAGCGGCCGTCCCTCCATCCACTTTTTTGGGTTTTTATATGTGAATTTAGAAGTAGGAGTGACAGTCAGCGCCATCCAACAACCAAACGGCGAGGTTGAAAACACTCTTATGCGCATGTTTGGCGTCACGTAGCACGTGAATTTATAATGAGCGGGCAGCTGACTAATTGTCCTTCTTATACAACCTAAACACACCAAGTCTGCCAGTACGAGACCCTCGTTCAATGAAATAAGGGAAAGAAGTGTTTACCTAAGGGCTCGTTTTTCCATGTTTCAACACAATATTAATGAGATCTAACAGACAGTAATGCCAAGGAATATACAGGGGAAGTATTTACATTAATTACATTCCATTGGTTCTAATAACTTCCCCTGTACATTCCTTGGCATTACTGTCTGTTAGGTTTCATTATTATTGTGTTAAAACACGAAAAAACGAGCCCTTAGGTATACACTTCTTTCTCTTATTTCATTGAACGAGGGTCTCGTACTGGCAGACTTGGTGTGTTTAGGTTGTATAAGAGGGACAATTATTCAGCTGCCCGCTCATAATAAGTTCACGTGCTACGTGACGCCAAACATGCACATAAGAGTGTTTTCACACTCGCCGTTTGGCTTATAGATGGCGCTGACTGTCACTCCTACTTCTAAATTCACATATAAAAACCCAAAAAAGTGGATGGCGGGAAGGCCGCTGTGGTAGCTGAGTGGTTAGAGCATCGAACGCGTTATTCGAAGGTCGTAGGTTCAATTCCTGCCCACAGCTGGTTATTTTTTCATACATTTTTCTTTCTCATTATTTATATTCCATTGGTTCTAATAACTTCCCCTGTACATTCCTTGGCATTACTGTCTGTTAGATCTCATTATTATTGTGTTAAAGCACGGAAAAACGAGCCCTTAGGTATACACTTCTTCCCCTTATTTCATTAAACGAGGGCCTCGTACTGGCAGACTTGGTGTCATTAGGTTGTATACAAGGTACTTTTAATCAGCTGCCCGCTCGCAATAAGTTCCCGTGGTACGTGACGCCAAACATGCGCATAAAAAAGTGTTTTCACACTCGCCGTTTGGCTTATAGATGGCGCTGACTGTCACTCCTACTTCTAAATTCACATATAAACCCAAAAAAGTGGATAAAGGGAAGGCCGCTGTTGTAGCTCAGTGGTTAGAGCATCGAACTCGTTATTCGAAGGTCGTAGGTTCGATTCCAGCTCACGGCTGGTTATTTTTTCATCCACTTTTCTTTCTTATTTACATTTCATTGGTTCTAATAACTTCCCCTGTACATTCCTTGGCATTACTCTCTGTTAGATCTCATATATATATATATATATATATATATATATATATATATATATATATATATATATATATATATAAGGGAAAGAAGTGAGGGGAAGATATATATGGGAAAGCAGTGTATACCAAAGGGCTCGTTTTTCGGTGTTTCTGACACAATATTATTAAGATCTAACAGACAATGATGCGAAGGAATATATAGGGGAAGTTATTAGAACCAATGTAATGTGAAATAAGAAGAAAGAAAAGTGGTTGAAAAAATAACTTGCCGTTCAGGAATAACCTACGACTTTCGAATAACGCGTTCGTCATTCTTATTTATTTTTTCACCCACTTTTCTTTTTTCCTATTTTACATTACATCGGTTCTAATAACTTCCCCTATACATTTCTTGGCATTATCGTCTGTTAGATCTAATATATCATTATCATCCTCAGCCCGACTACGTCCACTGCAGGACAAAGGCCTCTCCCATGTTTCGCCAGTTAACCCGGTCCTGTGCTTGCTGCTGCCAATTCGTACCCGCAAACTTCTTAATCTCATCTGCCCACCTGTCACGGCTCCCGTTAATTCGAAAGGCGATCGCCGGGCTAATTCCAGTGGCCGAAGTATCGGCCCCCCGAACCACACCACGAAAGCGTGGACAATTTAGAAGTGGTTCTTTTGGGCGCGCCAGCGGACGCCGGCTGTGGCCCAAAGAACAAGTCAGAGCCGAGAGTTGATAAACAAAAAAATTTATATTCCCAATAATGAGAGATCAAAAACAATACACCAGTATGCACACTCCACAATAGTTGCATACATTATGTCACCAATCAAACAACGTACTACACAGTACAATCACCCACACTCGAAACAACAGACACAGACAAAAATATGCACTACAATGCAGTCGCATGCATTGGACAACCAAGACACTTAAAGACTAAAGAGATAGAAAACCTATCCAGTCCAAAGTTCTTGGAACAAAAGTCTGGATGATACTCTTCCGAGAATCACTCACTCGAAGTCCAGCGTTGTTGTCGTTCCGCTGCCCCCGAAGTTTCTCTTCCAGGAAACCTCTGTCATTCCGCTGACCCCGAAGTTTCTCTTCCAGGAAA